AGCACATCCTGGGGAATAAAAAGAAACAGCAGCTACAATGAAAACCATGTCTAGGTAGCATTTGCAATGAATGTTCTTGCAAAACTAAGTTAAATCTACAGACATATAAATATTCAATGTGAGGAACAAAAAAAAAAAAAAAAAAGAGCTGGGCTGGTGAAGCTGTGTGATACTTTTGATCCGAATGAATATCCAGGTTGCTCAAAGAGGTAATGGATGCCCGTCCCTGTCAGGCTGGACAGGGCTCTGAATGTCCCTGGATACTTTCAAGGCAAGGCTGGCCGAGGCCCTGGGCTGCCCTCTCTAGCTGTGGATGTCCCTGTTCAGTGCAGACAAGTTGGACTAGATGATTTCTAAAGGTCCCTTCCAACTCAAACGATTCTATGATTCTATGATCTGCCTTAGCTCTCAGAATGAAAAATCTGCTTTTATGTGAGTAACCTTCAGAAAGGAGTCAAATATGCTTATCCATTGTGCTGCATGGATACTCCACCTATCACTGACAGGAAGCCTTTGGAATCTGTAGCGAGTTTACCTGTGCTGAAAGCTGCAGGATGTTTCTCACCTGATATAAAAAAACATAAAACTAAAAGATCAAAGGTACTTTACTAAAAAATAACTTTCTTTTAAAAGGAGAACACTTTATTTCCTGATTTTTTTTCCTTTTTATCATGCAATTTGCCATTGATACTGACTGTACTAACCCTATCTTCTCATGCCTCAAAGATTTAGATTCTGTTTTTTCAAGTTTCATGAAATCACAGGAAGACTCAAACAAAACTGTGGATCCATCAGGAGAACATCCACAGACATTTAAAAGTGAGTAAACATTGCCAGCCTTAAATTTATATTATCCTTTGTTAATGTTGTCTTGACACGTGACAGCATATCTTTGCTGCAAACCACTGTGACATTGAACTATAGATAAAAGTTTGTCTTAACAAGCAGATCAGGCCTGTAATTCCCTCCGTAGAAAAGACCATTGAATCATTGAAGACAGAATCATGGAATGGCTCAGGTTGGAGGGAACATTAAAGATCACTTAGTTCTAAGCCCCTTCTGTAGGCAGGGCTGCCACCCACCAGCTCAGGCTGCCCAGGGTCCCACCCAACCTGACCTTGAGTGCCTCCAGGGATGAGACCTCCTCAGCTTCTCTGGGTAGCCTGTGCCAATGTCTCACCACCCTCTGAGTAAAGAATTTTTTCCGGAATTATAATCTAAACCTCCTTTTTTTTTTAGTTTAAAACTATTCCCCTTGTCCCATCACTACCTACCCATGTAAAAAGTTGATTTCCTCCTGTTGATTTCCTCCCTTTAAGTATTGGATGGCTGCTATCAGGTCTTCCCAGAGCCTTCTCTTCTCCAAGCTGAACAAGTCCATCTCCTTCAGCCTTCATAAGAGAGGTGCTCCAGCCCTTTTTTTTTTTCCTGTATTTTTTTTTTTTTTTTTTTTTAATGAAAACTTGTGTATTGAAATGTTCTCAGTTAAAAAATCCAACTTTATTGGCACTCCACATATTTTCCTGGAAAGAAACTATAAAAGAAAATAATTTTTAAAATGAAGTGAAAAATCAGATCTGACTTGCTAGTGGAAGAACTCGAAGAGTAGGTAGGATTTCTTCTGTATATTTTAGGATTTATTGGATTTTCTGTGTGTATTTTGGGATTTATTGTCTCCTAGGATGTTATTCTTGCTGGTACCCTCCATCTTTCTGCTTTTTCAGGTACCAGCACTCCTGTTGCCCTGAAAAGAGAGGACAGTCCCAACACGACGCCCCCACCATGGACAAAGATGATTAGTGTGAAGGCCTCAGGGTTTCCACCACTGCATGTAGACACTTCAAGATCACGAGGCACAGCTGAAGTCCCTCCTGCTTCTGAGGGCACCTTAGTCACATCACCAGTCTTGCAGCCCAGCCCTGGTGAGTTCAGCATGGAAGACCAACACTTGTTTTATTCCATTAGCTCTGGAGTTTGTCCAAAAGCTCATCCCAAAACACATTGCAGAGGTGGAGGTTGGGATGACCTTCAGGATGATTTGCTCTGGGTCACTAGTGAGGAGATACCTGTATCACAGAAGTGCTAAAAGAACTTAGAGAGACTGTGCTGTAGTTTCTTAGTCCTTCTGGGGAATACCAAGTCCTGTGCCAACCAATTCTTTGCTCACATTTTGCTCCAAACCTAGTGAACAGACCTATGAAAAAAGCAATACAGAACTGCTTCTCTGGGTCTCCTGTACATTAATCATCTTTAAATTCTATCTTTTCTTGGCCAATACACTTTCCAAGATCTAGTGAATACATATGTTGTCCTTCCTTTTTCATCTTGAAATCCTTATATGTCTTTGGAAGTACGGGGTAAGGACCTGACTGTTCAGCAATCTTATACCTGACTTCTCAGTAAACAGATAAAAAACAAAGATTCTGAATGAAATGAAGCACTTATTTCTCTTCCTGTAGCTGATGCGAACGTGCTTTGGGTGCAGACTGTGCCTCCTCAAGATGCCAGTCATATACAAACAGAGCAAGGTGAGATTGATTTGGGATGTTAACAAAGTGTGTAAGTTGCCATGTTTCTGAAATAGAAAATAGCATCTACTAAAATAGGTGACTGTGAATGCAGAATGTGAATTCTACAGAAGTGTATATTATTTTTTTCGGTTACTTTTGATCCAGCTTCTTTGTTTTTTTTTTGTTTTTTTTTTTTTTTTCCTGTTAATACATCAAAGCCTCTTATATTCTTCTCCATCCTATAGATTTGCCTTCTTCAGTTCTGTCTTCTCCGCCCTACCGACCTGGCCTGATACTGAAACTTCATTCAGCTGCTCGTAAGTGACCTGCACATCATGCAGCAAAAATAGTAGCCTGGCTGAGTGTACACCAGTATGCAATTTTTTCCATCCAGAAAAAATGTGCATCTTTAATATATATTATAGTACATTTTATACATGTTAAACATCCCAAAGGCCAAAGAGATTGCTTCCGTATTTCTGAATCATACATAATTTCACACTGAACACAAAAATTCTGCTATGATGACAGAGTTAACTTGCATATTCTGTATGTTCTCCATTTTAACATAGAAGGGCTACTGAAGAATCATATAATTCATTTGTTCCAAAAGAAATGGGCAAGCTTCGAATTTACTTGTTGGTACAAATCAAATGATTAAGTCAATCCTCACCATATGAAATCTCCAGAATTTCCCTGAGTTTTCAATGCTGAAAACTCCCTCTTGGACTAAGGAGGGATCATTATCAGCTCAATTTTCAGGAGAGTTCAGTTCTTCCTAATGCCTAATCAATTAGAATATGAGAGATTAAGGCAGTACACATATGATGATGTGCCATTCCACTTATAATCTACTCATGTGATCAGTAAAATTATATTTCCATGAAAGTATTTAGAAAGAAGTTACATCCTTTCAAAAGCTGGTCTTGATCCAAAGTCAGGGAGGGTGCCTGCACTCTGGGAGAGCCCTCCCTGACTTTGGTTGCTGAGCATGTGAGTGTCTAAGTCCAACCTACACACACATCGCATTCTGCAGACACCTTTAGTACTTCCAGGGCCTCTGGCATCCCTCCTCCCAGTGATCACACTGGAAACCAAATAATGTGGCATTGGTTACATGAAGAAAATGAACCAGCATTGTATCATATGATACAATTTGATTTCTTTTCACTCTTGATGATGTGAGGGGAAGAATTTAAGATAAATAAGGTCTTCTATTTTGATGGGGATCAGAGGAATATGATATTTTTTGCCTTGGATGAGTTTGATTCGAGGACTAAATAATGACCACCTAACTGGAAGTTGCTGGAGTCTGGTCAGTGCACATCACAGGTCCACTTACAGAGTTTGTTCACCCGCTATTTGCTAACCAATGGACAATACTATAAGCCCAGATAAATCTATGACTGGGAATCCATCCTTTTTGAAAAACCTGGAAAACACAGATTTCAGTGACAGCAGAGAATGGAATGCCTCTCTATCAGAAACCATGACAGATGCTGTCCACCTGCATGTAGCAGTCGTGGCATTTTGAGAAAAAAAATCAGTAGTGGGATCACAAAACAATGAATATCATCCACGATACTCTGCAGATCATGACATTACTTGAGGAAGCCATTTCTTAAACCACAAAAATGGATTTATTTATATATTTATTTGTTCATTTTCATGCAGACTAATAAAATCTGAGAGCATGTTATAGCATGAGGAGAGGGATATTTTAAGCCTGAGTTACTCACAGTAGCCACAATACTGCTTTTCAGTGGCAGCAAAATTTAACCTCAGAGTCAGAGAAAGCTGATATCCTCTTCCTAGTGGAAAGGGCTTTTCACTGCAAAGGCTGGTCACTTACCTGCCTGTAACAGTAGTGCAGTAATTTCAGAAGGACAAAACCAAAGCTCTGCACAGACAGCTGTGGTTTCTCCTATCTATTGCTTGTTTTGAGCAAGTCAATTTCTTAAAAACAAAAAATCTTAGAAAAGGACGTATTAAAATAAATTTCCAGTTTAAAATGTTTTTGTATCAATCTGAATCTTTAGGAATTTATGAATTGAATCAATAAAATAAATCTCTTTACAAACAGATGTAAGAAAATACAATGAAGTACTGAAAATTCTGATTTCAACAATGTAATATAAATATACTATCCAATCCAAATAAAATTAAATCAGTCTTTACTTGAAAGAGAATTTCAGCGTTAAATAGTTATATGTAAATATAGCATTAATTTAAAATGAAATTATTGTTAGAAATGAAAATCAGAGCAATTTGTTTAACTTTCAACTTTTTATTTCCTTCTCTTTCCTACATAAATGAATCCATGTTGAAATCGCTGTCATTTGATTTACATTTAGATAGAACAAAATTTCTGCTGGCAAAACACACAGCTTGAGTAAAGCACTAATACCTGCTAGGTGGGATGGTGAACACCCATTTTGGTAGAGACATTAAAACACATTGGAGGGTGGCTATTAGCTATTTTAATTACTCCCAGCAACACTTAACATACTTTTTAGTGGACAGTCTATACTGAAATCTCATTGCCACATGCTCTGATGTTCAGTTATTAACACAAAGAGTGCGTTATTAAAGCAAGACATCAGTCATTTTTAGTTGCCATCAAGAGGAAGAAAAACAAGGGGTGTCAATTGCTGGTAATGTTCATGCAGAAATAGTGCAGCCAGCAGGAGCAGGGAGGTGATCATCCCCCTGTACTCAGCACTGGTGAAACCACATTTTGAATACTGTTTTCAGCTTTGGGCCTCTCGTTATAAGAAAGACATTGAGGCCCTGGGGTGTTGGATATTAGGAAAGTTATATTCTCATAAACAGTTGTGAGGTATTGGAACAGGCTGCCCAGGGAGGTGGTGGCATCACCGTCTCTGGAGGTGTTAAAGGAATGCGTAGATGTGGAATTCAGGGATGTGGATTAGTGGGCATGGTGGTGACGAGTTGGTGGCTGGACTAGATGTTCTTAGTGGTCTTTTACAACCTTGATGGTTCTATGATTTTAAGATGCTAAGATGGAGAGTAATGGCGCTCTCTCTCGCCCAACGCTGACTAATTTTGGCTGAGAACTGTGCAGTCTGTGACACTGAGACAATGGCCATTTGTCAGAGGCAACCAAGACTACAGTAGCTGCAAGGCCTACCTATTTCTCCTTCAGGATTCCTGCTACTTTGAGCAAGCTCTGATCAGAGGCAAATCATTTCATAACAGATCTCTTTGAGCTTGGCTGTGCCTTTATTTTCTTCCTGCCCATGAATGCCATTTTGTATTAAACTTCTTGTCAGCACTAGACAACTGAATCTCATTTCAACAGAACTTCATTAGTCTAAATTTGACCCCAGTAGCCTCCCCTATCACGTAACATAAGATAGCCCAAAGCTATAAAGCATGTGAGACATGTGAACCTGGAAATGCAATTACACTGTCTAAAGGGATTATACTCTGCACATAGGGCAGTTTATCTGAACATGTGGCCAAAGCCTGCTACTGATTTCACAAATGGAATAGCCAGCCAGCATCTCCACTGCTGCTGCCTCTGCTCCCTTCCTTCACTCCCCCCTACCCCAGTGGGTGAAAGGCAAAGGTACAAAAGCACAGTGTGCTCCTCCAGCATCAACTCTTCAGAGCAGTGTTATTCAATTCACAAAGCAGTGGCGATCACACACCAACTGTAGCTGCGCCCAGCCGCCTTTTAGCACATTCTACATGTTGCATTTCCTTTTCTGTCAAGTCCTTTGATTTTTACTGACTGTAATACAACTGTTAAGTAAAGGCAAAAGACATAAGATTATGTGTAACAGAGTACAGTTTCATGAAGACAAGATTATGTTAATGTAAGGTTTTCTCTTCATATGAAGCAGAAAAACACTGAAAAAAAAAAAAAAAAAATTGAAAGCAGCATCAATTTTGCCTTACCTTTTCTCATTTTCCCCCATTTTCATCTTTTCTGTGACAGAAAGGGAGTCTGAAAGGAGATTGTATTTCACACTGAAAAACCATGTAGCAATACTTACAACCTGCCATCACCTATTCTCTTGTATTAATCCATCTGCAGCCTGGCACAGCTGCATTTCCTGGTGTGATGAAGTATTTTATGTGCAAATGTTTACCTCTCACTGCTGACTGCGGAAGGTTCAGTGAACAGAACAAACCAGATATTTTCCTCTCAGTTGTCGCCGGAGAGGGAAGAGGCTGTCCATAACTCAATAAACTATTTTCCTGCATTTTTTTTTAAGTTCAAGCAATACAGTGGTGGTTACTTGAAATAAAAAATTAAAAAAAAAAAAAAGAAAAGATTAACCAGGTGGCAGCTGACAAAAAAGAGTAAAACTGAGAAATTGTTCCTACCTTCCTCTCAGCGCAGGCAAAAAATGACCTTTATTGCTTCCAGATTCTTGGCAGTTTTATAACCTCTAGGAAGGCATTTACCCAGAGGATTTTTTTTTCTAAAATCACTGCTGAAATTAGCTGATTATTCAAGGCAGTAGAAGCAACAGTGGAAAATGCAAGATAACTAGAGATGGACAGTGAGAAAGCCACAGCCCCTGCATAAATTGCGTCCATTTTGTTGATGGGGACAAAAAAAGGGAGATTAAAAGAACAGGGTGTTGTGATTGTTTATTAGGTCTGTTGTTTTAAGTCCAAGATTCAGATATAGAGAGTGGGTGTAGGAAACTGTGGAACTGGAAATGACTATTGCATTAGCATTTGTATATAGAAAAGATCAAATGTAATAAGCGTGTGGTGCTGTTCTTCATCTCACTGCTTTGTGCTGTGGAAAAAACTGATGCTACAGTGGCAACTGAACCTCCATCTGGAAAGGTAACAATAAATAAATTACATCTTTAGAGTTGTCCCTTGTATTTGTAATAAGTAAAAGCAACAATGATTTCGATAACTTACCAGAAGTGATAAATAATAATGAATTGATAATGGCATTTTAGTTTCACTCAAGCAAGTGCCAGTCTGTGTGTTCATTCTTTTTCAGTTATCTGCCTCAGTCGGACTTGACTTTAACTTACCTGTTAATCTGTGTGTTTCCATTTGCCCAGAAAAGTCATTGACAAAATTTTATGGTTCGGTTTTTTGAACTAGTTCATGGTTTTTTTTTCTCCAAGGGTGCCCACAGGCAATCCTCAAAGACGCGTATCTGACCTCACCTCCTGTCACCATCGTGCTGCAGAAGATCAATCCCTGTCTGATGGAGCTCTGCAGGTTTTTTCAGTTGTGCCTCTGCGTTGGCCAAAGAAAACATTCCATAAAGAATACCATGAGGTAAAATCTAGCAGCAGTTTCACTTACTTCTGTCTTCTTATAGTACTCCATTGTACGTTTTCCAGTGAGTTTTCAGTCATCAGTGATTTGAGTCCCTAGAATCATAGAATCTTTAGGGTTAGAAAAGACCTCAAAGATCACCTAGTGCAACCACCAACCCATCCCCAAAAAGCCCACTAAACCATGCCCCTCAATGCCACATCTACACATTTCTTGAACACCTCCAGGGAAGGTAACTCCATCACCTCCCTGGGCAGCCTGTTCCTTTCAATGCCTCAGCATTCCTCCCAAGGAGAAATTTTTCCATGGTTGGTCCCAGATGGAGCCTCAGGGTATTGATCTGGTTTTCACCAGTCAGTGAATAGAGCTCAACTGAATCTTCTCAAGTATCTAATGGCATAAGTTAGAGGTTAGAATATAGATTTTTATTTCTATGTTCAGAGAGCAATATTACCAGCATGATGTACTTAGAGCTATGTTTATGAAAGACAACTAAATAGCACTCTTCTAATTTTACTACTTTAGGTACTGTGTTGAATACTATTCCTGGTTTTTGAAAAATGCAAGTTATGTCTGTGAAAGAGTCAAAAGAGTTGCTTCCTCCCACAGTAAGTATAACAAAAAGTCTTAGACACCCACAGAGTATTTGATTGCTCTTCAAAGTATTATCTGATGAAGATTTTTAAGATAACTAAAAGAAAAGAAACCAACAGACTTATATAACCATGTATGTTTTTCATATTCTCCTTGTAAAACCTGTTCTGACTGTGTTATTCTTTTTTCTTCCAGCACTAAAACAGAAATGCCTTAGGAACATCTGTAAATCAATCTAGAGCATTGAGGAATTTTACTGCAGTTTGGGGAATGGTGGCAGTTTTAGTAGTCTTTTTCACTTCAGTGTAATAAAAATCAGATTGACATAGATTATTTGCAAATATGTGTAACAAGACAAGTTATTAACCAGATATTAACATAGAATTCTGTCTTCCTCCAAAGCAATGTGAAAATGGTGTGTAAAAACAGATGCATTTTATACGTGTTGTACCTGCAATAAAAAAAAAAATATTGAAAGGCTTTATAAAATTGAATTTTATAAGGATTCTTGTATGGTGCATGTAATATCTTTAGCTAGAATAGTACCCAATTAACATAATGTAATCAAAGTGAACAAATATGGAAAATTGGAAAACAACCCGAAGTACTGAAATATTTCTGGAAGTCCCGACTCCAAATCAAGTGTCTCCCATTACTTTACTAACTCATTTAGTGCAGAGCTCCACTAAGGAGATATTCACATCTCACTCTGTGACACATTTGTGTGAGCTTATGTGTATCTTACGTATATGCACCTCTGTTGAACTAGAAGATAATCCTAAAAAATGAAACAATAATCAAACAAATTGCACAATCCTATATTCTGCTACACTGCAGCAACACGATTCCTCAGTCAACTCTAAGTAAGTTATCAAGCCATTAAACCTTCCAACAAAAGAAGAGTATTTGCAGTGCAGATGCTATGCATTGGTGTTTCAATGAAGGTATCTGTGTGTTCAAAGTATGTGTATGTAATTTGTTACAATCATTCTTAGCATTACATTTTTGGGAACTGAGGAAGAAGGACATGCAAGATGAACATAAGGGAAGAGATTTTGACTTTCTGTTTTCAGGTTTTAATTGAAAAAAAATATCAAAAGAAAAATATTTTCATAAAAAGCCTCCCTTTGAAAAAGTTTTTTCTATTTTTACATGTTTGGCTTGTATTGTCGTTCTCCATTCTATTGGAGGCTTTTGCATTTGTAAGAAATTATTAGCTCCTGTATTTCTCCTGAAGAAATGTGAGTCCTGGGACAGTATTAACCTTCGTAGTATGGTAAGCCTGAATCATGTCTGACAATGTGTGTAGGTCACAGCTATCTCCATTTTAAGGTCCTGGAAAGGGCTGAAAGCTAATACTTTGTGTTCATGGGGAGAGAATTAGCAGGTGCCACGTAGCAGTGTGTGTCCTGTGAAAAGAGCTAAGATCACATATCCTGAAGGACAACTTTCTTGTCACAATTGTTCAAGACTTGCCCACAAGGAAAATCAAAAATAATGGTTGAAAAAAGAGGAAAAAACAAAACAAAACAAAACACCACTAGATAAAGAATAAAAACCAAGGTGAAAGAAAGAAAGAAAGAAAGAAAGAAATGAGCACATTAGCAACTCTTAGGAAAAATTAAAAAAAAAAAAAAAAAAATCCATATAATCAGACCTTCAGACCTACAAAGCCTCAGTGCATAGCTTTGACAGAAATCTATGCATTATGGTGACATGTGGATAAATCACCATCCACACTGACTGGGACCTGTTTTGTCATCAGTTTCAACCTCAGCCTTCTGCTGACATTCAGGACGGATGAGCTGACCTTCACCAAAATCACATATCTGAGACAAACAGCAATTCAGCTTCACTTATGGCATCTTTGAAAGGCGTGTGTGTCTGAACTTGGCAGAAAGCACACCTACCTGAGGAAGGAGAGCCTGCTCCAAAGATCTTGGACTCACCCTTACCCTGGCTTTCATTCAGCTTTGGATCGAAGCCACTGTGGATAGATAAGAGCAGACTTCTCAACCCTAAGGAATGTCAGTGTTTAGAGCTGTATAAATTTTCACTCATCTTTCATCACTGAACACCACCTCTTACTAAGCTATTAAAGCCATATTCACAAGCCCCAGAGATTTTGTGATTAATAACAGTGAAATGATTGTTGTTTAATTACAGCCGCAGAGTATTAGGGCAGTTACTATACGGTGAGTGCACCTGCAGAAAAGACCTCTCAGTATAGATCCTTTACATGACTGGAGCTATATTACTCTGCTGGCATTATGAATCTCAGGAACTTCATGGAAGGATTAATTAATAAATGTTGAAGTGGGTTTGATAAGGGGACTGATCACATGGGTGAGGTATATACCCAGTGGGTATAAATCACTTAGTGCTAACTTTGCTGAAATCCATTTGTTTTACATCCAACTGCTTTCGAATAATATCCCTCAAGGTAAGTTTTTCTAGATGTACTCTATAATACAGGAATAAGGAAGAAAATGTAGGGAAAAGTTATTTAGGATTGCAGAGTGGGAGACTGAAGTACAGGTATGGGTTTAAGATAATAAATATTTATGGCTCTTATATTTCTAACTTCACTTTTTGATGAAATATTACAAGATTTTTAAATGACCTTACACTTGAGGAAGAACATAATAAAGAGTAGGTACATGTTTGAAAATTAATAAACATATGCTTATTTTTTTAGCTATAAAAAACTCTGTGCTTGACTTAGGAAAATGTTTTAAATTAGGATAAACTGTAATGGCAGCTCAAAATCTATCTGAATATTAGCACAGAGCTTTGTCTTCAGAATTATTCCTTAGACACGTTTTTATAACGTCAAATGCATCCAAAATTTGAAGATTTCCATGCAGCACAGTATTTGATTGGGAAAATATACGATGCTTTAGATCAGTATCAAGACCGATCAGAGTAAACGTGTGATTACAAAGTGATTTATATGATGTGAAGTTAACTAAGACATAGGACTGTAGACTAGCTGGGTTCAGTAGAAGTAATTCCAGAATGTTAGTTAGTTTATAAGAACTGTTAGATCAAGTAAGCCATGAAAATTGCAAAATAAAAAAACTTTCATTGCTAAATGGACTTGCCCTGTCTGTGGCAATTTGAGGAGCCTGTTGACCTAAATCAGTACTAAAGTAAATATTTTTAATCAGGTTCATAGGGGAGTTTGATAATGTGTGGAGCATATATATGACCAATTTTTGATGCATTGTGTGCACTTACAAGAGAAGAAACTGTGTTGCATTAAGCACATATATGGTCAGGCTAGAAAAGGATTTTCTAACTTAGTGGCGTCCTACACTCAGATTAAAGAAATAACATTCTGCCTAATATTTTACCCAACTCACCAGGCACACCAGTCTGCTCTGTGAATTTTTCTTGCATTTGGTCAAATAAAAAATGATTGGAATTCTTCTGATGTCTATGTTCATGGTGTTGCACAGTGGTAAGTCACCATTAATTTTTATGATTATTTTGCATTTCTGACAAATACTGTTTTAAGTAGATGCGTTTGGAAATATAACTCTAGAAAAGCACACTTACCCCTTCCAACTTTGTTGTTCAGCACTCAAATGTACCAAAATAATTAATTATGGAGCAGTTATAGAACATTTTTTTTTTTCCTCAGGACATATAGTGAAGGAAGAAACATTTAGTGGAGCTAATAAATATAAACAAAAAAAAAGCATCTTAAATTGTGCTTAGATTTGGTCATCACCTGAGCCCTTTAGATTCCCAAAAATTGCAAAAATATATATTCTACTCATGAAAGAAGTGTATTATATAAATTCTCCACACCATTAAGTGGGTTCTTGTGTTCAGCAAAAGTTTTCTTTGAATTTTTAGTTAGATTTTTTTTTTTTTTTCCTGCATGTAACTATTTACATTTAGTTGTCCTATGATGAATGAGCTTTCAATGATCCAGTGACAGGGACAGGCAACATTTCAGATTTCCCTACACTGTGTGTAGAAGTCATAATGAGTAACGATGTGCCATTGAAGAGAAGTATTTTTAGAGCATTCTTGGTTGTTCCATGAGGTTATTTTTGAAGTGAAAAGAAAGTCGAACACCTTGGCACACACAGAATTCTGCACTGACCTACTCCATACCATTTCATCTCTTATAAAGAATCACATGCATTGCAAGTCAGTAAATAGTCTAATACAAGATACATTTGAAAATTATATTAATGAAACTGAGCATTAAATCTCCTAGCATATGGACAGAAATCAGTAGGGATATCAGAATATTCCCACTTCATTGAGAGGGAATGCCAAAGCAACAATATATATTGATAAATAACCAGTATACTCAGAAATATCTGTACACTCAGAGATTTTTTTTGACATAGCAAAGACATTTTCTCCCAAAGCCTTTTGGCTATGCCACAGTTTATTATTATTTTTCTCCATCTGAGCACAGTCAAAGTATAAAGGTTTGAAATGCTGCCCTAGGCCAGCTGGGGCTTCGGGAAGCATTACTGATTTAGACTTATGTGGGATCCACTTTGCTCATCTCTACTTTGAGACTGAAACAAACACTAGAGCACAAACAACTATCTACATGAGGAGTGAAAGGGATTTCCCTTGAAGATATCAAATAGGTTGGATTTGCTCTGACATTTCCTAAGACAATCAATGTTTGTGCTCCCCAGATATTATGACTGCATTCATGCCCTATATAATGGCATTTTAATTAGACATGACTGCAAAAACAATCAGAGACATGGTGATTTTTTTTGTGAGCCTTGTTGGGATAACACTTCTGAAAAGCATTCTCAGCATAGCAACATCATAGACACAGCCCTTGCATCTAAATAATGAAAAAATTCTGTGGGTAAGGCATACAGCTGGAAATCCCAAGGGCTGATGTACCAACAAGTCTCCTCAGGACACATGCCAAGGAATTTAGCAGGTTGTAGAGAAAGGTGAGTGAAGCCAACTCTCTCTGGGTGTTCTGCAATTTAAAAGGCTGATTTTTGTAGCACAGTCTTTCACTAACTATGCAGGGAATGAGGCAGGAACATGAGCCCCAGAAGGTGTGATAGAAAAATAATAAGAAAGAATGATTCAGAAAGTATTTTCTTACTGTCTCTACATCAAAATTTAAATAAATTAAGCAATCTTGTTAATAAATATTGGTTCGTTGATGTTGACTCTCTGACAACTAGAAATACCATTTTTAGCAATGAAAGGGTTAGAAAAACTAAATGTTTTTCGAACAGCTGACCCTATGGTAGAGATGTTTCTTAAGAGGGGCTTCAGATATTTGTGTGTAATTGGGTTTGTGCAAATTAAGTTTGCAAAGAATTACATGCAAATGAAGGGTAC